AAAAAAAAAAAAAAGTCTAATACAAGGGCAGACAACCCCTCTGATTATATGTGTGTGCATACACACCCAGACAAATCCCCTCCCCTGCCCAAAGAACTGCTTAAGACCACTCAAAAACAAAACAGAACAAAAATCACTATTGCCTTGGTCCTTGAACCTTTCATCAATTGCTGTCTAAAGCACCAGAAACAGCAGCACTAAAATCATCACTATCACTAGCAGCTGAGTGTCCAATCCCTGCACCAAGGCTGGATAAAAGCCCCAAACCTTCCCAACCAGGTCCTGAACATATTCATGTTCACTAATTTAGACTGAATTATCTGATTCATCTCCATCTTAAAAAGCGTACTCTTTTGTTATATTATTTAATCCTCACGACTACCTTATTATTCCTATTTTAGAACTAAAGACGTTTGGGGTATTTAATCCTCACGAATACTTTATTATTCCTATTTTAGAACTAAAGAGGTTTGATCTTAGCCAAAAGGCGGAGAAGCAATAGGACTTCCCAGTATAATACACAATAATTCTGATCTTCTGAACTCACAAGAAATTTTTTTTTTCACACCACAACTGCTGCTTCCTTTAACAGCAATTACTGCTTGCTGAATAACATCTAACTCCTTAGCTTGCTAATCAAGGCCTCTGGCAGCATTTTCCACTCTCCCTTCAGTGGATGTTAAGCTTTTGCTGTGAAAAGAGTATTCTATGTTCTTCTGATACAGTCTTTTCTTATTTTTGCTCATGCCATTCACTTTTTGGAGATAACTTTTTTTAATATTGCTTGGGATTCATTGAGGGTACAAAGAATTAGGTTACACTGATTGCATTTGTTAGGTAAAGTCCTTCTTATAATTGTGTCCCGCCCCCAAGAGGTGTGCCATATACCGTACTCCCATGTTCCTCCCTCCTCTCCTCTCCCTGCTCCCTCATTCCCCTTCCCCCACCTTGTATTGGATCATCTACTGGCTTCATATTAGAATTAAGTACATGGGATTCTTGCTTCTCCATTCTTGTGATGCTTTACTAAGAAGAATGTGTTCCAACTCAATCCAGGTTAATACAAAGGATATAAAGTTTCCTTTTTTTTTTTTTTTTGAGACAGAGTCTCACTTTGTTGCCCTCACTAGAGTGCTGTAGCATCGGAGCTCACAGCAACCTCAAACTCTTGGGCTTAAGCAATTCTCTTGCCTCAGCCTCCCAAATAGCTGGGACTACAGGTGCCCACCACAACACCAAGCTATTATTTTTTTTTTGTAGTTGTTTAGCTGGCCTGGGCGGGTTCAAACCCCCCACCTTCGGTGTATGTGGCTGGCGCTGTAACCACTATGCTATGGGCACCGAGCCAAGTTTCCATCTTTTTTAATGGCTGAATAGTATTCCATGGTATACATATACCACAGCTTGTTAAACCATTCCTGGGTTGTTGGACATTTAGGTTGTTTCTGTATTTTGGTGATTGTAAATTGAGCCACAACAAAATCTAGTGCAAATGTCCTTACGATAAAATGTTGGGGTTTTTTTCTTCTGGGTAGATGCCTAGTAATGGGATTGCAGGATCAAAGGGAGGTCTAATTTGAGTTCTTTGAGGATTCTCCATACTTTCTTCCAAAAAGATCATATTAGTTTGCAGTCCCAGCAAATAACTTTATCTCTCCCATTTTTTTACTAAGATAAAAACCTCTTCAATTGTTGTCAAGCTCTGAAAGATAATTCTTTTTAGTCGGTATTGTGGTATTCCCAGCTGCTCAGGAGGCTGAGGTGAGAGGACTGCTTGAGCCCAAGAGTTTAAGGTTGCTGTGAGCTATGACACTACAACAGTGTACCAAGGGCAACAAAGTGAGACTCTGTCTCAAAAAAAAATTAATAATTCTTTCCTCTTTAACCACTCTTAGAGATTAAAAATAATGTTTAAGGGTGGCACCCATAGCTCAGTGGGTAGGGTGCCAACCACATACACTGAGGCTGGCTGGTTTGAACCCCAAACAACAAATAGCCGGGAATTGTGGTGGGTGCCTGTAGTTCCAGCTACTCAGGAGGCTGAGGCAAAAGAATCGCTTAAGCCCAAGAGTTTGAGGTTGCTGTGAGCTGTAATGCCACAGCACTCTACCCAGGGTGATAGCTTGAGACTCTGTCACCAAATAAATAAATAAATACATAGTTTAAGAATGAAGAAATCAAAGTTTAAGAACTAGGAAGAGTAATTAATGGGCAAATCACTGTTTTGAAGGACAGTGATAGTGTACAAGATCTTATTCTGATTAAGTGATTTTTTATTCTGTCCAAAATTTATTCCTTTGTCTTTTCCCTAAGTCTCTCTTCCTACTTCCTGTTACTCTTACATTTACTTCCTTTATTCTTTCTCTGTCCACCATACTTTTTTTCTTTTTCAGGTTTTATAAAGTATCTTACCTTTTTTATTGAATGGCATGAATTTCACTAGGCTTTTATTTCCAAATTCATCATATCAAGAATTATGTTTTCAGCTCGGCACTTGTGGCTCAAGCAGCTAAGGCGCCAGCGACATACACCTAAGGTGGCGGGTTCGAATCCCCAGCCCGGGCCCGCCAAACAACAATGACGGCTGCAACCACAAAATGGCCAGGCATTGTGGTGGGCGCCTCTAGTCCCAGCTACTTGGGAGGCTGAGGCAGGAGACTCGCTTGAGCCCAGGAGTTGGAGGTTGCTGTGAGCGTGATGCCATGGCACTCTACCCAGGGGGATAGCTTGAGGCTCCGTCTCAAAAAAAAAAAAAAGAATTATGTTTTCGTTTTTTTAGAGTCAGGGTCTCACTCTATCACCCAGGTTGAAGTGCAAGGAGAACAGATCAAAGCTGAGGCAGGAGGATTGCAAGAGACCAGGAGGTGGGAGGCCAGCCTGAGCAGCATAGCAAGACCCAGTCTCCACAAACAAAATTTGTTTAACTAGCCCAGTGTGGTGGTGTACCTCTGTAGTCCTGCCTACTCAGGGAGCTGAGGCGGGAGCATTGCTGGAGCCCAGGAGTTTGAGGTTACATTGAGCTATTATGGGGTCACTGCACTCCAGCCTGGGTAACAGAGCTAGACCCTGCCTTTAGAATAAATAAGTATTGACTAGTGCAGTGGCTTACATCTGTAATCTTAGCACCCTGGGAGGCTGAGACAGGAGGATTGCTCAAGCTCAAGAGTTTGAGACCAGCCTGAGCAACAAAGTGAAACCCCTGTCTCTGCTAAAAATAGAAAAAATTAGCTGGGCATTGTGGCAGGAAGCTCTCAGGAAGCTGAAGCAGGAGATTTCTTGAGCCTAAGAGTTTGAAGTTGCTATGAGCTAGGCTGACATCGTGGCACTCTATCCTTGGATCAACAGAGTGAGACTCTGTCTCAGAAAAAAAAAAATCTTTATCTTTCCTGGGTAATGAATAAATAAAAATGAAATAAAACAGGGGTAGCACCTGTGCCTCAGCTGGTAGGATGTTGGCCTCATATGCTGAGGGTGATGGGTTCAAACCCAGCTCCAGCCAAACTGCAACAAAAAAATAGCTGGGCGTTGTAGCGGGTACCTGTGGTTCCAGCTACTTGGGAGGCTGAGGCAAAAGAATCACCTAAGCCCAAGAGTTGGAGGTTGCTGTGAGCTGTGTGATGCCACAGCACTCTACAGAGGGCAATAAAGTGAGACTCAGTCTCTAAAATAATAATACTAATAATAATAATGAAATAAAACAAAAAATCCTGATGATTAAAGAAGGCACACGGGTGAGATCACATAGCTAGTTAGAATTCAAACCCAGGTTTGTCTTCAAAGCTCCCTTCCTCTCATTATCACACTGCTTCAAATTATAGTGCTTTCTACTGATTCTGATCCTTGATGATTCTGTTTTATCCTAAAAAGCCTCACTGCCTCTGCAGTCTCGACTCACAGCAAGCAAAACCTAGGTCACGGCTGTTGTAGCCCAACTGCAAAGAAACAAATACAGCTCCACTGGACACTCAATTCATAGTCTTTGCTTTAGCCTACCCTAGAGAACTGGCAATTGTTGCCAAACGCCTGTCAGTCAAGAACAGTGGCTTGTTTGTTAGG